GGGCAAGCTGAGCTGTACCTGCTAAGTGTTTCTGCTTGATGCAGTGGATGGCTGTGCGCTGTGTCCTGGGGTGGAGCAGCAGCAGCAGCACTGGCTCCAGGATCCTGGCCACGTCGTTGAGGGACAGAGCACGGATGAGCCAGCCCTGAGCTGCCGCTCCGATGGCACCGTCGGAGCAGTTGAGGCTGTCCAGGACTACAAACAGTGACCTGAATGGAAAAAAAAAAAATCGAAGGAAGAAGAGCTGAAATGCCTCAGAATGTTAAGCAAACAGGAAAATGATGGCAGGGAATGGACATGGAGTGTGTTCCAGCAAGGAGCAGCTCATGGTGTTCACCAACAGCTTCATCATGCACATTCTCCTGGGCATTTTCCCTCGGATGAGCAAGGCCACACACAGCTTCACACTCCACAAGAGCAGCAGATTTTAAAGTGCTTTCCCATATTTATTTAGACTCTCAGTGCTTTTGTCGCATTTTACAGCAAGGTTATGATAGATCTATTTCCTTGGAAATACGAAGCAAAACTATCATAGTATGTGAAGGGATTTGGATGGAGTTTAGAGATGATCCAGCCCCAACCCCTGCCCTGGGCAGGGACACCTCCCACCAGAGCAGGTTGCTCAAGGTTTTAGCCAATCTGGCTGTGAACACTGCCAGGGTTGGGGCAGCCACAGCCTCCCTGGGCAACCTGGGCCAGGGTCTCAACACCCACACAGCAAAAACCTTGGCCTAAGATCTCATCTACATTTCCCTCTTTTAATTTCTCCCCATTGCTCCTTGTCCTGTCCCTGCAGCTCCTAACACAGATCCCTCTGCAGCTTCCCTGGAGCCCCTTCAGATCCTGCAGGGTGCTCTGAGGTCTCCACACAACCTTCTCTTCTCCAGGCTGAACAGCCCCAGCTCTCTCCTAGGGAAGCTGCTCCAACCCTCTGATCTGGACTTGCTCCAACAGTTCCATGTCCTTCTGATGTTTGGGACAGCAGAACTGTGTGCAGCACTCCAGGTGTGGTCTCATCAGAACAGAGTAGACTGTAGAGTAGACTAAAACAAGCTGATTTCCTGCGGGTTTTTTTGCACAAGCAATTGCTTCTATTTTCTTTGGAAAATCCAAGCCCTTGGAAATGGAAAATACCTGTCAAAGGATCTGTTGTGTGAAGACACTCTGCTGCCTTGGATCTCTCTGGTCAGGTGCCACATGACAGAGAACCTGAACAGTGCTTCCAGCCTTGTTCCCTGGGCAAGCAAACAAGAAAGACACATTTAGAATCACAGAAACATGGAATGGTTTGGGTTGGAAAGGATCTTCCACCAGACCAGGTTGTCCATGACCCTGAGTTTGCAGCATTTATCTCTGAGATAAGGCTTACTAAACCTCTAGAGAACAATATCATGGAGATATTGACTCCTACTCCTTCTCAGGTAGTTGGGTGTGCAATAGACTACACCAAAATTCCATATAGATCAAGGGTGGATGTGGAATACTTCCACAAATGAAACTAAAACAGCCACAGGAGCATAAAAACTGTTTCAATACACCAACAATGTTCTTCAGAACTGCTGTGGGTAAACATTTCAGTCTTGGTTGGGTGTTAGGGAGGTTTAAAAGTTGGATACCAAGTGGGAAGACATTGATGGTGGTTCTTGTTGGTCTTCCTGTTTGAAAGCTTTTAAAAGACTTCCAAATAGTAGTTTCAAATAGGAATGATGGGAAAATAATAGCCAAGACTGAAGGTGGTGGTTGGAGTCCTATTGTGCAAAGCACCTAGAGAACTGCTGTCATTACCTAGGTAAGGAAGTTAATTAGTAAGTGCCTCAATTAAAACACAGCTCATTATGAGAGCTAATTACTAAGGTGGACACGAGGTCACAGTGATGTTGCCAAACACAAGGTATTCAAGTCTTTTGCTGGAGTGAGAAGGTTACAAAATCAGCCCAAAATAAAGTGGTTTTACACCTACTGGTGGAGTTGAGGCAGCTTGGAAATACTGACAAAACCCCCAAGTTTTTAGATGCTGCGGGATTTGGGTTGAAGCTAACAAAGCTTCATGGACTGAGAGTTTGTATCCAGGGATTAAGTTTAATAGCAATCCCATGATGAATAAATCCCAGGGTGTGGGAGTCTGTCAGACTCTTAGAAGGATCATGGGGTGGAATGGAACTGGAGGCAATCTGGGAAGCACTGGAACAACTCTACAGTGCTGGAAGGCCTTCAAAGAATTCAGGACTTACTTTATCCCTATCCAGAAGTGCATGGCAGATGATGTCCTCACAGATGTTTGCTGATGGGGCCAAGCAGTGCAGCCTGTAGAAGAGTTCCACACAGGCAATGTGGTGCTCCCGAGTCTCTTTGTTCAGCTGATTCCAGAGCACACAGGCTACTCTCTAGGGAAAAACAACACAGAAACACACCAATCATAACCATTTCTTCCTGATTTCAAAGCTTCCTGTTGGATAAATATCCAATGGGGATTCCCAAACTGTCTTAGGATCACAGCATTCCATGAAGGAGAGGTTCAGTGGAGTTGGGCAGTAAAACAAAGAGAATTGGCACCTGGTAGAAATCAGTTTTCTCTGAGATCATCTTCAGAACTCCAGGAGCAATGGGAGGAAGAGTGACCATCTGCAGCTTTCCAAGGAAGGGGTTGTGCCCAGACACTTTGTAACGCTTCATCCTGTCTTCTATCACCAGTGCCAGGGACTGGGAATGGTTGATGACCTCCAGGAGGGTGAAGATGGACACGTTCTGGACGTAGCAGTCATTGACACAGCAGCAAACTGTCATCAAGGACCTCAGCCACAGAGGGAAGCTGATATCACAGCCTCCTTGGAAGGGAAGGGAGAGAAAAGGGTTTAAATCATCTCAAGGTTAGGGTTGGATTCCTAAAAATTCTGCAATTGATGTCACAGGACCAAGAGACCAAAATGATTGCTCAAATCCAGTGTCACGGTGACATCATCAGGATTTTCACAGAACCACAGAATGGTTTGGAAGGGACCTTAAAACTCATCTCATTCCACCCCCTGCCCTGGGCAGGGACACCTCCCATCAGCCCAGGCTGCTCCAAGCCCCATCCAACCTGGCCAGGAACACTCAGGGAGAAGGCAGCCACAACCACTCTGTGTTTTCCGATGACAAAGCTCTTGCACGACCCCAGGAACTAGTGGATTTGTGCTTTCCAGTTGATGTTTATTCCCAACCAGTGTTTCCAGCTGCTGTTTTCCAGCTGGCACTGTCACACACACCACCAGGGATCTGCTGATCCAAGGATGCTCTTCCAGCAGCACTGAGGTGTATCAGAACCCAATTTTCCCACCTCTCCAGTCACTATTTGTCAGTTAGCCTTCAGGCAATAACAGCTCCTGCTAAAGCTAAGGAATGAACTGGAATTCCAAGACCAAACAGGCCCACAGTTATACCAGATTATTCTTATATGTTACTTGGGACTCCTTTGAGTTCTGAAGGTTTGGGAAACAGATGGTGTAGGACTCGTTTTCCATCTTGCTCCAAAACATCCCTTTTTTGGGAGGGACACAACACAACACATGGAGAACCTATTTCCTGAAAATCCTGATCCACAAAAGGCTCTTTTCATCCCTTTGGCTACATGTTTTGTGGGGAAAGGTTTGAAAAGAGTGGGAATTTTAAATGCTTGGCCAAACTTGGGCCTTAGCTGCTAGACACAAAGCACTACTGAGGTCTCTAATTCATGGGCAATTTGCCTTCAGCCCTGTCAGTAAATCTGTTTTGGTTGGACTTGATAACCTTAGAGGTCTCTTCCAACCTTGATGATGCTATGAAAAGGCTTTTGGACTGGCCCTGGTCACAGGGCTTGCAAAGAGCTGAGTCACTATTTGCATCCTCAAATGCTCAAGTTGCCCAGGAAAGGAATCTTTTCTTACCAGGAACCTGAAACAGAGAGAGATACAACTGTTCCATCTCCTCCTCAGAGAGATACACTGGGAATGTGGTGCAATCCAACAGAAGGTGACAAGCTGCAGAGAAAGCTTCCTTGCAGTCCCCTCTGAGGGGCCCCAGGACCAGCATCACTTGTTCCAAGTCCCACTCTTCTTCCTCCTTCTCCTTCTTATCCCCAGAGCTGTGGTCAGGGAGAAGAGGGTTGGAACTCTTGTTCCTGAAGGCTGAGCCTCGGACTGAGAACAGCTCTGAGAGCATTTGTTTGACCTGAGGCACAGTGATCTGCTTTGCATCCCATGGGCTCTTTTTCTTGCTGGCACCTTCAGGTAACCTGTAGCCATTCTCCTTCTTCTCTTTGCCACTCACTGCTGTAATGCTTTCACTGCTTGTTTCTTGCAACTGCACCCCGAAAATGTATTTAGTGGAGAACTTGGCAACCAACTCTTGGATGCAATGCAAAGTCTTCTGAATGCTTCCCCCTTTCTTCCAGACATCATCTCTCTCCAGGGTCACTGCTGGCACCCCCAGGTGCTGGGACAGCTCTGGGGAGGAGGCACTTAGACCAATGCCACTGTCCTCTGACTTGAGGGGAGGGAATGGAGCCTCATCCTCCTCCTGCAGCATGGACTTGGTCTCTAAGGTGATGTCCACATTATCCTTTGGCACTGGGCTCTGTAACAGGAAGGTGAATATGGTTAATGTGGCACTGGGGAACAGCAAGGACAGGAAAATTCTTAGCATTTGCCATTTCCAGATAGATGACTCTAACAAAATCAGAGTTATTTATAAGCTGTTCCACTCAATTGCCCTTAGAACCTAACAAATGTCTACATAAACCTTACACCTTCACTCAGCAAACCCCAACAGATCCACAGATACTTAGCAAATGGAAATATTGCCTTCAAATCAATTCACTAGCACAACACTGCTACATCTCTGGATTATTTCCAGACAAGTGCTGTATTTGTTCTGCTGCAAGGCCTGGCCAGGCCGTGCCTGTGTGGTTTCTTTATGCTACTGACTCCTCATTCCTTCTCACGGGTTCCTGCACACAAATAATAGCACATTGTGTTACCCTGAAATATTAATTGCAAGTCTTGCAGGCCCAACCAGCTGTGAAGCTCAGTTTGGTTTGGCAACTCAAATCTTCAGTGCTGAGTGCCCTTGCAAAAGCATTAAGATCACATTCTTCTCCAGAGGCAGGTTTGTAACTCCAGTTTTAGACAAGACTCAACTCCTTCAGTGCCACAAGTAATTCAAACAACCCAGAACTGAATATCCAGTAGGAATAACAAGGGATCAGAGAGCTCTGGAAGGAGCCAAAGAGGATAAGTTTCAGGAAATCTTTATTGCTGCAGTTATGTATTTTATAGAATAATAGAATGGTTTGGGTGGGAAGGGACATTGAAGATCATCCCATCCCACCCCTGCCCTGGGCAGGGACACCTCCCACCAGCCCAGGCTGCTCCAAGCCCCATCCAGCCTGGCCTGGAACACTCCCAGGGGTGGAGCAGCCACAGCTGCTCTGGGCAACCTGTGTCAGTGCCTCAGCACCTCACAGGGAGCAATTCCTGCCCAATATCGACCTGTCCCTGCCCTCTGGCAGTTTGCAGCTATTCCCTTGTCCTGCCCCTCCAGGCCCTTGTCAATAGTCTCTCTCCATCTTTCCTGTAGCTCCTTCAGGTACTGGAAACTCACAACTATCTCATCCTGAAGCTTCTCTTCTCCAGGCTGAACAATCCCAACTCTGTCCAGGAGTTAGTGGATATTCAGGGATAAATCAGCTTTAACTCTTTCTCCTGGGTAACTGAAACCTGTGAATAGTCTCCCTGTGTCTCTCTTGTGTCTCCCTTCAGGCACTGGAGGGATAGTTATCACCTGGGTTTAAATTAGGGGAATTGGCACTTCAAATAAGTTCTTCCAAACACCTCTGAGGAGTTGCAAATCACCTACCCCACTTCCACTTCCAGTCTCGATGTCCAGGTAGGAAGGAGGCATCTGCACCTTGCTGAGCACCTTAAAACAGGTCTTTAAGGCATGAGTGAGTTCTGGTAAACCTAAGACTTCCATATTTTCCAGGAGGGACTGTACCATGTAGCTGAGCATCTGAGGAAGGTACTGAGTCTGCACTTCAGAGTAGAGTTCCTAAAATAGATAAGCAATGTTTAAAATAGTTATCACATCTTATTTTTCACTAAGCAATGATTCATAAACTCACTTTGCCTTACCAAAGGAATCACATCAAGAAGAAACACCAACAACGTGCAGAGCTCTGAAATTGTAGGAGGAGTGCTAATATTTTCCAGAGGATATCTCATCCCTGTGGATTTGCTCCTGGAGTGAAAGACACATTATTCTGTCAGCTTTATCCATGCCAAAATTCTAGTTACAATCCAAAAGCTTCATTAAAACCAACACTAAATACTGATCAGCTTTCTGAGGCAAAGGAATTGAATCCAGCAGGATAAAACATGCTGTTAAAACCCCCTGAACTGCCTGTGGGATGATAAAGTGCTTCTCATTTTCAGACTAAATCTCTGTCTTACCATCTTAAATCTTATTACTTACTGAATTGCTATCTTAAATCTTGCTACTTAAATTATAACCTTCTTTCTTAGAGATGGAAAGGGATAAAGAGAGAGATCATAGAATGATTAGTGTTGGAAAAATCTTAAAGATCAGGGAAACATAGAATCTTGGAAAAGACCTCCAAGATGATCAAGTCCAACCCTACCGTCATTACTAGACCATGGCAATAAAGACTTTCTACCTTCCCTCCCAACCCCTTTTTGTCCTTCAGCTGTTCTTTTAAAAGTCATTTCTTTGTTCTCAGGTTGACGTTTTCCATCTAATGATTTACCTGTTTGCACCCTTGAATTACCTTAGGACACAACTTACGTATCTGGTTGGTCCCTACTACGTGTTGTATTCAAACATCATGATCTCAGACACCTCTGAAGTGACACTTTTAAGAGGACAACATAAGCAAAGCACCTGAAACAATCTTCAAAGCACTTGGTCATGTAATCCCAAAGGAAATCTGTGCTTAGGGATGTGATCAGCAAATTGACTGTTTTGACGATTTCTGAAGCATTTTTGTTCTCTTTGATTGCACTGTGGGAAAGGGAAGACAAAAGCAGAAGAAAATAAAGCAGAAGTCAGTGAGGATGCTAAGAGCACACACATCACACTGGTAGCTCAGGCTGTCTAAAGTCTTTTTTCCCCATTTTTTTCAAGCTAAAATACATTGATTGTTTTAAACCAAAGACTAAGTCTCTCTGAAATAGCTGAGGTTTGAGCATCTTTGCCTCAGATGAGAGAAATCAACCCCTCAGCTTTGAAAACGTGAGTTCAGTCACCAGCCTGAGGCTTGGCTGATGCCACTGTGGTTGCTCAACACTGTCACATGAACGTTGTTTCTTCTCTGCTGATCCAAGAGAAATCCACTTTGTGTAGGG